CGAGCAACAATAGCAGTGCAAAATGGGTAGAACAATAGCGTAGCAAAAATAGAAATAGCACAATAGCAGTAGCAACAAAAACACTAACAAAAAAATAGCGTAAAAAATAGAGAGCATCAATGCGTAGCAACAAACAAAGCAAAACGAACAAAAACCATTACATTAAAAATTAGTTGGTGTTCGTGAAATTGCTAAATTATTGCCGCCCTTCCCCCACTAGCACAAAAATCACACTGGAAGCAAAAAAAATTTTAAAACGAAGGGCAGCCCGTTAAAAATGAGCTTCGTTCTAAACCCGGTTAATATTTAAAAACTGTGTAAAAGGAAAATTGTGGTTTGTATTTTTTTTTTTGTTTCTTTAATAGCAGCTGCACAAATATAAAATTTCTGGGTTTAAGTTAGTTTTCGTAACCCTTTGGGTTTCAATCGAAGAATCTGGTTCATTATGGTTAGTCGAGACATATGGGTTAAACCTACCAAACCCTACCAACCAACTTAGTCAAACCTAACCTAACCAAACCCCAAACCAAACCTAATTTAAACCAAAATTTTCCAAACCAACCTAACCAAACCCAAAACCTAACCAACCCAAAACCTCCTAACCAAACCTACCTGCCCAAACCCCCCCAACAAACCCCAACTTCCCCAAACCCAAAAACCAAACCCTAAACCTAAACTAACCTAACTTAACCTAACCCTAACCAACCAAACCTACCTAAAACCTAACCTAACCAACTTAACCTGCCCAAACCCTAACCTAACCAAACCAACCTAACCAACTTAACCTAACCCAAACCCAAAATAAATTGGTAGAATTCCCGACAATAGAAAAGTAAAAGGACACAAGTGCAACAAATGTGACTTTTATTGTGGCAACTTTTCGCCTCCGGGAGCTTTACAACCCTTCAAACAAAAAAGGGAAACCAGAGGGTTTAAAAAAAGGCTCAGAGTGAGGTGAATACAGTGGGGTACCATTTCGTGTTCATAGTGGTTAGTGTAGTGTAGTGGAAAATTGCTTTTGCACTCCAAAAAACTACTATACTCTACCAAGTGAACATCGAAAGGGCCTCACTATATTCACTCATTTGGGCCCTTTATATACCCTCTGGTCCATGTTTTGTTTGAAATTGGCTTGTAAGCTCCGGAAGCGAAACGTTGCCACAATAAATGCCCAATTGTTAATTGTGTCCTTTTCTTTAATAATTTAAACCTAACCCCCCCCTAACCAAACCAACCCCTACCAAAACCAAATAATTTTAAACCTAATTTAAACCCAAACCAAAACCTGACTAACCTAACCTAACCCCTAACCTAACCAACCTAACCTAAAAAACCTAACCAAACCCTAAAAAACCCAACCAAACCCAACCAACCCTAACCAAAACCTAAAATTAACCTAACCTAACCTGACCTCCCTAAACCAAACCAAACCTAACCAAACCAAATTAAAACCTAACCTAAACCTCCCAAAAACTAACCTAACCTAAACCAAAACCAACCCTAACTAACCTAACCTCTAACCCGACTAACCTAACCCCTTTAACCCTAATGACCTAACCTAACTGACCTAACCCCCCCTACATTTGAGCTTTGTTCTTCGCAGAAAATAGGTCCCTTTGGGGGTGTTGGTAGACTCTTGTGGGTGGCATACTACCCATTAGTGCACTCACCTGGACCAGCACTCACCTGGTCTAGCACTCACCTGGACCAGCACTCACCTGGACCAGCACTCACCTGGACCAGCACTCACCTGCACCAGCACTCACCTGCACCTAGCACTCACCTGGTCTAGCACTCACCTGGACCAGCACTCACCTGCACCAGCACTCATCAACTGGACCAGCACTCACCTGCACCAGCACTCACCTGGACCAGCACTCACCTGGACCAGCACTCACCTGGACCAGCACTCACCTGGACCAGCACTCACCTGGACCAGCACTCACCTGGACAGCACTCACCTGGACCAGCACTCACCTGGACCAGCACTCACCTGCACCAGCACTCACCTGACCAGCATCACCTGCACAGCACTCACCTGCACCAGCACTCACCTGCACAGCACTCACCTGGACCAGCACTCACTGGACCAGCACTCACCTGCACCAGCACTCACCTGGACCAGCACTCACCTGGACCAGCACTCACCTGCACCAGCACTCACCTGGACCAGCACTCACCTGCACCAGCACTCACCTGCACAGCACTCACCTGCACCAGCACTCACCTGCACCAGCACTCACCTGGACCAGCACTCACCTGGACCAGCACTCACTGGACCAGCACTCACCTGGTCTCAGCACTCACCTGGACCAGCACTCACCTTGCACCAGCACTCACCTGCACCAGCACTCACCTGCACCAGCACTCACCTGCACCAGCACTCACCTGGACCAGCACTCACCTGGACCAGCACTCACCTGGACCAGCACTCACCTGGACCAGCACTCACCTGGACCAGCACTCACCTGGACCAGCACTCACCTGGACCAGCACTCAC